CCGGAAGGGCCCGCGCCATGAGGGGAAGGTCGCCAGGCGCCATGTTGAGAAGGTCGGAGGGACTGGTGGGCCGCCATGATGAGGAGATGTCACATATGGCCGCCTTGATGGGTCCGCGCCATGATGGGGAGGTCGTGGGGCTCCATGTTGAGAAGGGACCGTGGGGTCGCCATGGTGAGGAAGTCGTCTTCACACAGGGAGGTCCTAGGCCAGTGGTTCTGTCGGAGGGACTGGTGGGCCGCCATGATGAGGAGGTCATCTCACATGTGGCCGCCTTGATGGGCCCGCGCCATGATGGGGAGGTGTGGGGCGCCATGTTGAGAAGGGATCCGTGGGGTCGCCATGGTGAGGAGGTCGTCTTCACACAAGGGAGGTCCTAGGCCAGTGGTTCTCAACCTTCTGTCCCTTTAATACAGTTCCTCCTGTTGTGGTGACCCCCAACCATAAAATTATTTTTCTTGCTACTTCATAACTGTAATGTTGCTACTGTTATGAATTGTAATGTAAATATCTGATATGCAGGATGTATTTTCATTTTTACAAATTAAACATAATTAAAGCATAGTGATTAAACATAAACATAATTAAAGCATAATTAAAACAATATGTAATTATATATTCAACTAGAGGCCCGGTGCAAAAAAATTTGTGCACTGGCAGGGGGGGTATCCCTCAGCCCAACCTGTGCTCTCTCACCGTCTGGGACCCCTTGGGAGATAACCACCTGCTGGCTTAGGCCCGCTCCCCGGGTGGTAGATGGCACGCCCAATTCCCATGCTGGGTCGGGTGGCCGCTCGGATTGTGCTGCCACCCACCCCGCACGCCCCACCCCACACATGGCAGGCCAGGATCTCGCTCTGGGGTGGCCAGCGGCTGGGGATCGCACTGCCGCCAGCCCCAATCAGGGCAGCGCAGCAGGATCTGCCTCCAGTATGCAAATTAGCCACCATCTTTGTTGGTGGCTAATTTGCATATTGCGCTGATTAGCCAATGGGAGGCGTAGGGAAGGTACGGTCAATTACCATGTTTGTCTATTATTAGATAGGATATGTGTTTTCCCGATGGTCTTAGGCGACCCCTGTGAAAGGGTTGTTCGACCCCTAAAGGGGTCACGACCCACAGGTTGAAAACCGCTGTTCTAGGCCCTAGGGGTTTGTTTTTCTTCCTTTTCCCCCTCCTTGCTTAGTTCCAAGGTGTTAATGTCTGAATCTTCCACCCCTTGCACAGCCCCTGATATGCTGGTCACTGAGAGAGCCATGTTGGTTTTTAATGATTTTAGAGAGGAAAGGAGAGAGAGAAACATTGGCTGCTTCTTGTGTGTGCCCTGACCCGGAATAGAACCCATGACCCCGGAGTATAGCGACCCTGGCGGGGCCTCAGCCATAGCGGGCGGGCTGCTGGGGGAGAGGCAAGCCTTCCCAGTGGGCCCTTCCCTCCTGCTTGAGGTCGGACTCGCTCCCTTCGCTCAGGGACGGGCTGGCTGGGGCCTGAGTGGACCCCTTGGCAAGGAGGCCAGCTGCCCGGGTCTATTTGTAAAAAGGGAATTCACGCGCTTTGTATAGCAAACCACCCGGGTAAAAGATTATAAGAAATTATTTGTGTTAATTTGACTGAATTATACGTGCTTATTACCAATTTTATTCACAAAATTAATTAAAACAAATTTATGTAAACAATTGGTATTTTTTAATTTTTGTTGTTGCAAAGCAATACAAGTGAGTTTATTGTATAAAAAGTGTTTTACATTTTTCCCAT